TGGATGGACGGACGGACAGACGAACTGACATGCATAAATAAATTCAGATAGTGATTTTATGGAGATCCTCAAAAGTAACTATGGGTCTATCTCGCTTCCTTCTTCATGTTAAAAACAAATGCACAAAGACATAATACCCTTACCACTATGTGGTGTAGGGTATAAATATCCAAAATTTTACTTTCAATTTATTTGAATTGTGTACAAAATGTCAAAATTATTTGTAGTTTTAATACCAGCATAACAACTCTTCTATTTATACCCAAAATAAAATCAATATGTTTCATATTTTACATCATTCAATATAAGTCTTTACATCATTTCATTTACACCCTCCACCTCCCTCCGCCCACATAAAATCAATATCAAGTATATTTTAAATCATCCAACAGCAACCTTCTTTGTATTAGTTCATCATCATCATAGTCATAAAGTTTTATAAATTTAAGCTTCTTTTAACGAATGCAATTTGCAATGGACATCTTCTTAACTTTATTCTTATAACAAATGGGAACACACAGATATACAATAATTTATACATGTGTGCATATGTACATGTCAGTCATGTGTGCTTGTGTGTGTTTGGATGTATGAGTGGTTTTTGAGTGATTGTGGCTCCATTATGTCTGGCCATTTCCTATGAGTGTTCAAAGATTAGGTCTACTTTTGTGGGTGGCACATTAGTCACCACATGCACACACGCTCACGCACACATGTGCACATTATCCTGGTCTGCCAAGCAATTGATTAAAGTTTGATGAATGCAAAGGCTTTACAAGTAAGACAGCAACAACAACAAACATAGGGTTTTTTTGGTGAAAACCATTTTCATTCTTTATGTTCTGTTTTGATGTGGGACAACAAAAGTCAAATCTTTGGTCATGCCTAAAAAAATAGATTTGTCTTTGGGTGGTTTTTTTGTACCTTACTTTTGAACGCACAAAAAGGAAATGTCGTTAGCTTGAACTTCCTTGCTCTTGTCACATTTTCCTTTTTTTTTAAAGGGAAAAGGTGCCAGAAGTTGTTTTTGTTGCTGTTGTTGCTTTACAAAACAAAAAATGGAAAAAATCTTTGCCAAAGCTGATTGAAGCTTAAATATTAGCTAAACACAAATTTCAAGCCTGAATGAACATCCTTTTGTGCGCATGAAAGGAAAATACTTATAAAAAAGGGGCATACACATAAATGGAGATGTGTGCGTGTACGTGAAAGTAACTAGGAATTGTTGCTCAACATAACAGCTTGAGGAGAAAATTGAAATTTCAGAGGAATAGGTCTTACTTTATCATCAAAAAAATATGATGGAAAGTATCGGACGATTTGTCGACAAATAAATATCCCTAGTCTAGGGCCTTGCACCAGCTCAATACACAAGAATTTCACGGGCCATACTCCTTCGTTTTCGTACCTCAATAATAACGTTTCTATCGAAAATATTTTAAATTAAAATTTTCTAAAATTTTACCATTGGAGTGTGGGATTATTTCCCATTTAAAATCTCACTTAAATTTGATGAAAATAATATGACTTTCGAATTTCTTTCTTTTCATCGATTTATGTTAGATTTAGATTTTTTCAAAAATATCGTCGTTTTTGGGAGTAGTTTACGAAGCAATGGGCCAATATTTTCCATTTCGTATCGCACCTAAATATATATGATATAAATATTGCGACATGTCAAGTTTAGACTAAATCGACTACTTCCTTCATTTTTTATGAGATATGTGATAATTTTTAAATGCTGAAATGTAGCTGAGGTACCAGATATAGTCGACTGAAGTATTCCATTTGCATACCTCATCTAATACAGAAGAAAAGAAATCGAACATTTACATGGTGATATGAAAAAACTACAACCAACTTCAGACTGCTGTCATTTCTAAGCCACTCGTCCGACACCTGTTAAAATTATTCCAGTGACAGCTCATTATATTGTTTACAAGAGTACAAAAGCATTTTGGTGAAAATTTGCCAGAAAAAAAGTTATTCGTGATGGAATTCAAGCATGATAGAGTGATTTCTTTATATTTGGGTGGAAAAGCACAAGTGGCTATCGTTAGAGCACTCCAGCATTTAAATGTGAATAAATTGTTCATGTCTCGTACGTGATACTGGTAGAGTAGCCTGACGTCAAGGAAGTGGACGGAAGAAAACGGCAACATCAGCAGAAATGGTTCGATAAATAAAGAAGCGAGTTGATCGAAACACGCGCCGCAGTGGCCGAAAAATGGCTCGTGAGCTAAACATGTCGCAATATTCGATTCCGCAAATATTGAAAAATGAGCTCGGAGTAATGCCATTAAAATTCCAAAAAGTGCAAGAACTTAGAACGCAACGAAAGGAAAATAGACTAAAAAGAGCTAAAGAGTTGCTTTGCATGGCCGAAAGTGGTGAACGGCCGAATTTAGTTTTCTCCGATGAGAAAACATTCGTTGTTCAGCAGTTTGTAAACAAACAAAATAATCGTGTTTACTTGCCAAAGAGACCAGCTGAAAATGTTCACCTTCGATTGGCCACCAGAACTCAAGCGCCGGCCATCGTGATAATGTGGACCGCCATCGCAGCCGATGGTCGCTCTTCGCTCGTATTAATGGACCGTGGCATGAGAATAAATGCCGAATATTATCGCGAAAATATTATTCAGATAGTGATTTTATGGAGATCCTCAAAAGTAACTATGGGTCTATCTCGCTTCCTTCTTCATGTTAAAAACAAATGCACAAAGACATAATACCCTTACCACTATGTGGTGTAGGGTATAAATATCCAAAATTTTACTTTCAATTTATTTGAATTGTGTACAAAATGTCAAAATTATTTGTAGTTTTAATACCAGCATAACAACTCTTCTATTTATACCCAAAATAAAATCAATATGTTTCATATTTTACATCATTCAATATAAGTCTTTACATCATTTCATTTACACCCTCCACCTCCCTCCGCCCACATAAAATCAATATCAAGTATATTTTAAATCATCCAACAGCAACCTTCTTTGTATTAGTTCATCATCATCATAGTCATAAAGTTTTATAAATTTAAGCTTCTTTTAACGAATGCAATTTGCAATGGACATCTTCTTAACTTTATTCTTATAACAAATGGGAACACACAGATATACAATAATTTATACATGTGTGCATATGTACATGTCAGTCATGTGTGCTTGTGTGTGTTTGGATGTATGAGTGGTTTTTGAGTGATTGTGGCTCCATTATGTCTGGCCATTTCCTATGAGTGTTCAAAGATTAGGTCTACTTTTGTGGGTGGCACATTAGTCACCACATGCACACACGCTCACGCACACATGTGCACATTATCCTGGTCTGCCAAGCAATTGATTAAAGTTTGATGAATGCAAAGGCTTTACAAGTAAGACAGCAACAACAACAAACATAGGGTTTTTTTGGTGAAAACCATTTTCATTCTTTATGTTCTGTTTTGATGTGGGACAACAAAAGTCAAATCTTTGGTCATGCCTAAAAAAATAGATTTGTCTTTGGGTGGTTTTTTTGTACCTTACTTTTGAACGCACAAAAAGGAAATGTCGTTAGCTTGAACTTCCTTGCTCTTGTCACATTTTCCTTTTTTTTTAAAGGGAAAAGGTGCCAGAAGTTGTTTTTGTTGCTGTTGTTGCTTTACAAAACAAAAAATGGAAAAAATCTTTGCCAAAGCTGATTGAAGCTTAAATATTAGTGTTTACTTGCCAAAGAGACCAGCTGAAAATGTTCACCTTCGATTGGCCACCAGAACTCAAGCGCCGGCCATCGTGATAATGTGGACCGCCATCGCAGCCGATGGTCGCTCTTCGCTCGTATTAATGGACCGTGGCATGAGAATAAATGCCGAATATTATCGCGAAAATATTCTGGAGAGTGTATTAAAGCCTTGGGCATGCAAACATTTTAGGCGTAGACCTTGGGCATTCCAACAGGACTCAGAACCATCTCATTTAGCACGCGCCACCCAAAAATGGTTACAAAATGGCCACCAAAAACACCGGAACTAATCGGTTGGACTTTTGCAGCTAGAGTATTTCAGAAAGCAAGGTTGGCACTAAAAAATATCAAAGTGTCGATCATCTCAAGCAACCGCTTCGCCCGGAATGGGCACAAATACCGCAGAGCAACATTCTAAAAGTGTGTGACGGTTTAATTGGCCGTTTGAAGGCCATAATTCGTGCCAAAGGTGATCAATTCGAACAAATCTAAACTTATTCTAAAATTTGATGCAATTTCCGACATTTTTTGTTTTCATTCAATAAATTTTAAAAAAAATGTAAAAATTATGGCGTTTGACTTTGTTGCAGTTTTTTTATCAGGCCCCGCCGATTTTTACTGGTTTGATATATACAGATTGTATTTGTATGTATTTGTATTTGCGATATCTTTGTTGCCAGCATCACTGGAACGATCACAGACAGCCTTCATGTGTAGATGCAGTTCCGCAGGATTGAGAATGTTCGCATATTTCACCCTGTAAATATTATTCGATGGTCATTTAAACTGGGAGGCATCCATAAACTCTAGTTCCATACTAATTTCCACGTCAAATGGTCTATAATTGCGACCTGGAGAGCAACTGCATAATAAGAAAGTGATGCTTTTTCTTGTCCATGTCAACGACTAAATGTTTTGCGATCATCTTTAAAATAGGTTGTTCTGACATAATCCCACCTCCATGCCAAATTTTGCGAGACTTGCGACCTTTAGCGTGATTAAAAATTAATATGGACAGACGAGCGGACATACATAACTATAAAGACTCAGGTCGGCGAGATAGCAAGATCCATATATAACATCCTATGTACGGGACCAATATTTCGAGGTGTTACATAATTTTTGGCCCAATCAAACTTATAATACCCCACACATAGTGTTGCAGGGTATACTAAACAATGTAAAAACAAAAACGTAGTTATATTACTGTTTAATACAAATTTTAGTATGAATTTCCAAAACCGCCTCCTAATCTATATTTTTTTCTATTTTGTCTAGGAAACCTGTGGATTACTGCGAGCTGCTGTGCAATGGCGAAAACCCCAAGGAAGTCTTGAATTTCCATCCTAAATCCACATTTTGCATCCTTTTTCCTAGGATTTTTGGATAAACTCTTGAGGTAATTATGTTTGTTGCAGATTTTTTTCCTTTTCCTCTTCTTTAAAAAAAAAAAAAAAAAAAAAACTGAACGGATTTGCATTTATTTTAATTAAAATCCCTTTTCTGTGAAAAGTTTCAAAGCCTATAAACAATGACCTTTATATTATTTAAATGATTGTGTCCAACCTTCCGCTTCAGTTTCCTTTTGTTATTTATTTTTCATTTTTCCCTGATTCCAGGATTTTGTACAGGAATTTTTGTTTAACTCCTTGAAAAGTAATTTTAAATTTTAGTACCCACATTTTCGTCGAGGGAGGAGGAAAAGGTCATTAAGGGGTTTAGCATTCAATTTCCTATGGCCAAAATTTTCGGCCACAATTCTTTAAATCGTTTCAGGCTACACACAAAGCAACCTATATTCCTGTTCCTGCCAAATGACGTCCTCTACAATAACAATAATAACAATAAGCCTTAACAAATTTACGCAATATTATTAACATTCGCACTCCCAGCAATTTAAGAGGAGTTAAGGATTTAGACAAGGAATTGCCCATAATAAACATTTGGCCATTTTTCCTCAATGTGTCAGTTTGGGGGTTTGTGTGGGCTTGGGGTGGTTGAGTACCTCCTTCCAAGTTAAAATTTAAAATTCAATTGCTACGGAAATCAGCGCCCCTTGTTTTTGAGACGAAACTCTAAGTCTCATTCAACTTGTGCCCTCTCGTACTCCGTATGTCTTTGTGTGCGTGTGTGTGCTGCAGATGACACCCAGTGTCACATGAACGCCTCCACCCACATTGTGCCCATACAGCCAGTCAGCCTTTGGATGTCACTGTCAACGCCACAACAATTGTCAGTGATGTTATGTTGCCATTTTATTCATTTTCTTCCTACCTCGTCCTCTTCGTCTTCTTCTCCTAGGTTGTTATGGCCAATGTTATTCCCTTTGTTGGGTGACTGTCTTGCCGGCGACTGCTGCTGCTGCCACAGTTGCCATTTTTGCTGCTGTTGTCAAGTATATAATCGATTTTGACATTTTAAAGTAAATGCTTTCAAGTATTTTTGGGAAATTATTTAAATATTTTATTTCTAACGTTGCCAGGACTATTGTTTGGGGAGTGAGGATTGGGGGAGGTAGGAATTTGGTCCTCCAGTAGGAATTGGGTCCGTGTACCGTTCAAGTAACATCTTTTATTATGTGTTTCCTTGGCAAAGACGAAATAAACAATCAGCGAAAAATGTTGCTATTCTAACATTCCTTTGAAACACTCCTCCAATGGCATATATTTCATGTAATACCTCTCCCTCAACGGGTATTTCCTTCCCACCCCACCCCTCCCTTCCAACTACTGCTTCTTATTCAAGGCTATTAACATAAGCCAGCATGTGACTTATATTGGAAAATGTTTTCCATTTCGTTTTGTATTGAATTGAATAACAACTACCCGTGTTCCGTTACATTGCAACATTTGCGGAGAGCCCGAGGGGGAGGACTAAATCTAAATAAATCACAGTTGGATGAAAACAATTTTCACAAAACTTGAATGGAATTGAAAAGCAATATTATTTGAAATGCGCGATTTTATTTCTTTCTTTGAAATTGGAGATCATAAAAAAAAAAAAATTGGGAAAAATATCAAATTGTTGAAGTGATTTGAAAAACGTTTCAAATTTGTTGCTGTTGTTGTAACAAATGGAATAACAACATTGCCAATCATTAAATGCCTTGAATTACACAATGTGTGAGTTCAATGGGCTGTCGTCGAGGAGGACAACATTAGAAACAAATAACTAAAAACTATGCTAATTTCAGCTGGACTGGTCTTTTATTATATCGACCTTGTGAATACTTAATTTATGGCCAAATCGGCTGTCCTAAAATCCCCAAAAATATGGATCTTCCGCCAAAACGGTATCTATGACTTCTTTGAATATTTTTGAAGAAGTTAAACTACCTTCTGAGAAGCCGAAATGTCAAATTACAAAATCTTTGTGATATCAGCAAGTAAAAAAACATTAAGTTCGGCCGGACCGAACTTTTAATACCCTCCACCTTAGTCTAAGGAAACATTAGAACCAGGAAAAAATGTGGCAAAAATCATCAAAATACCGAATATTATGAGGTACAGTTATATGGGGGCTATACCAAAGCGTGGACCTATGGATACAATGTTTCCCCGTACGAACTTGGACCCATTATGACCTACAAATACCAATTTTCAGACAAATCTGTGAAAAAGTGTGGCAAATATCATCAAAATATCGAATATCGGGATGTACCGTTATATGTATACCGATATATACCATTTTCAACACCAACCATCCCAGACAAAATAGAAATTATTCTGCTAAATATTGACGCTTTACGTCAAATAATGTAGACTTTATCGTGATTCTAACAGACAGACGACAGACAGACTGACAGACTGACAGACAGACAGATGATTATGAATATATATACATTTCCAAGGTGGAGGGTATAAAAATTAAGGTGTTCAACCCGCTATAAAAAGGGGGTAAAATTTTTGGCAGAATTAAACTACCCAATAAGAACCCCAAATATAATTATATCTGATGCTGGGATCAATACCTTTAAAATACAGGAAAATGGCAGTACATTGTGGAATATTTCTTTGTGTGTGAATATTCTTTGTGAGGAAGTTAACCACCCAATGATATCCCAAAATATGACATTGCAGCTAATTTACTTGGAAATTAGACCAAAAATTTGGAAATTCTGAAAAAGAGAAGTTTTCTTATATAGAGGCAAAATACCAAATATCAGGGGTACCTTTCATTATGTGGGTGATATACGAAGATGTGGACGGTATAGGTAATTTTTTAATGTAGGAAGTGGTACCCATTATGAACTCTAAACAGTTAACTTTGAAACAATGCAGTCGAAAAATGTGACATTAATAACCAAACTACCGAACATCGTTAGGTAAATTTATATGGATCCTATACGAACCTGTGTAGATAATTTTCTATTTCAAAATATCAACTTTGGAAAATTTCAACTCAACAATTAAAAAATGTAAAATTAATTTTTTTTGTGGGGACTATAAGAAGACTTGGACTAGTATAATGAGATGAAAAAACTGCCAAAAAACCACTCGTCCAACAGCTGTTCCAGCTGTATTCCAGTGACAGCTCATTATATTTTTTTACAGCGTACAAAAGCATTTTATTGAGAATTTTACAGAAAAAAAAGTTTTTTCGTGATGGAATTCAAGCGTGATTCCCTTATATTTGGCTTGAAAACAACAAGTGGCTCCAGCATTTAAATGCGAATAAATCTTTTATGTCTCGTACCATTGCTCATTATCGTGATACTGGTATCGTAGCCCGACAACAAGGAAGTGGACGGAAGAAAGCAGCAACATCAGCTGAAATGGTTCGAAAAGTAAAGAAGCGACTTGATCGAAACCCGCGTCGCAATGGCCGAAAAATTATTCGTGAGATGAACATATCGCAATATACCATTCGGCAAATATTGAGAAATGAGATCGGGGTAGAGCCATTAAAATTCCAAAAAGTGCAAGAACTTACACAGAAAGAGAAAGAAAATAGACTCAAAAGAGCTAAAGAGTTGATTCCTTGACCGAAGGTGGTTAACTGCCGAATTTGGTTTTCTCTGATGAGAAAACATCCGTTGTCCAGCAGTTTTAAACAAACAAAATGATCCTGTTTACTTGCCAAAGAGGTCAGCTGAAAATATGCACCTTCGGTAGCCACCAGAATTCAAGCGCCGGCCATGGTGTTGGTGTGGGCCGCCATAACAGCCGATGATCGCTCTCCGCTCGTATTAAAGCCTTGGGCACGAAAACTTTTTGGCCGCAGACCTTGGACATTCCAACAGGACTCAGCATCATCGCATTCAGCACGCGCCACCCAAAAATAGTTATAAAATGGGATACCTCGCTTCGTTTTCAGCGCCCAATGGCCAGTCCGTTGGACTACTGTCTACTAAAAAATACCAAAGTTTCGATCACCTCAAGTAAGCGCTTCGCCGGGAATGGACCAAAATACCGCAGAACAACATTCGGGCAGCGTGTGACGGTTTCATTGGCAATTTAATTTTAATGCACACTGCCAAGTTTAGTTCAGAATTATGTGTGGCAATTTTGGTGAATATCGGTTCGGATTTTAATATAGTTCCCGCACATGGACACACAATTGCTCCCAAATATATGTTTAATCCGATTTTCGCTTTAAGACTCTTACATTTGTAATATGCGCCACACAACAATGACACTTGAAACCATATTATAACCCAGAAATACCTCTTCCAAATTATATCAAGATCGCCTTAGATTTCAATATAGCCCAAGGTATTGGATTTTTGCACATACGACCGAACTTTAAAGTTGGTGAAAATCGGTTAAGATATAGTTATAGCTCTCATATATATGTTTCATTCGATTTGGAGTTTGTCCATTTTCGCACCCTAGCACCTATAAAATATGATCCTTCGTTTTTCTATGAGATAAAAAATTGTTGGCCGAAGAAAGTCTATGATCTATAAATCCAAATTCGATCTCAAAAACCAAAAGGCGATTATATGATCAATCGAAAGTGGACACGTATCTTTAAAGAAATTTTCAAGAACAGTCGATATTTTGCTAACTTTTACTGAAAGTAGTTTGTTTATTTTTATTTAATTTTTTTTTGCCGCGGTTTAAATTGAGTAAAATTTCTCTACTGCAAAGAACAACTAAAGACAAAAAACAAAAAATGAGTAAAATTTCTCTACTGCAAAGAACAACTAAAGACAAAAAACAATTTGGAAAGCAATAAGTTCGGTAGGGCCGAACTTTGAATACCCTCCAACGTTTGAACAAATTTGGAAATTTTCAAAAAATGAAGCCCGTAAAAATTCTTTTAAAATCTTAAAAATTCCGAATATAGCCGTTACATTTAGGTCTATACGACGTGGACCTACATAGGCATTGGTGTCATGAGCCATTACCATATTTAAATTAGAACCTTGAAATAAACGGTGAATAAATTAGCTAA